CGATTTTGGGGGCCTCTTGGGCCGTCTTGGGCCGTCGGGAGGCCTTTCTGAAGCAAATGCCAAACTCCTTCAAACACCGAAGGAACATCAATGATTTTGGCCTCTTCAGGCCTTCCTGGAGGACCTCATGGAGGTCTCTTAGGCCGCCTTAGGGGCCTCTTGGGCGTCTCTTGGGCGGCCGTTTTGGGCTCTTTTGGACCATCTTGGGCCGTCGTGGGTGCATCTTGGGGCGGAGCGAGAAAGGTATCCGTCCAGGCAAATTGGGGGGGGGGGTTCGGGTGGCCAGCGCAATGGACCGAAGCCAAGGGGGAGTCTTAAGACAACAACAAAACCATCAGACATTCAGCACGCCAGGCACCCCTGTGTAAATCAAAAGGGGGCGGCGGATCGAAGACGCCTACGGCGAATCACCGCCGCCCCCTGCCCCTTGGAAGCGCCTCTGCGGCCGACAGCTGGGCCAGAGCTTGGCCAAGCTATCGGGCCAGTTGTTTCCCGAGTGGGTTTGGAAAGACTTCATGGAACGCATAGGGGGAGCAAGAAGAGGAGGAGGGGGAGGATGAGGAAAAAAAAGAGGAGGAGGAGGAGGAGGCCTCTTGGGCGCCTCCATGGGCACTCTTGGGGCGTCCTGTGAGCTTCCTGGTGGCCTCTGAGAGGGTTTTCGGGGGCCTTTGGAGGCTTCTTGGGGGCCTCTTTGGCAGTCTGAGGGCGTTCCTGGCTTGTCTGACGCCGTCGGAAGCCGTCTTGGGGCCTGTCTGGGTCGTCTTGGGGCCCTCTTGGGGCATGTCAGGGGTTCTTAGAGGCCATCTTGGGCGTCTTGGAGGTCTCTTGGGCCGTTTTGGGGCCCTCTTGGGGCCGTCTTGGGAGCCTTTTGGGCCGTCATGTGGCCATCTTGGAGGCCTCTTGGGCGATCTTGGGGGCCTCTTGCGCCGTCCTGAGCTGTCGGAATGCCGAGAAGAAGCACATGCCACAATCTTTCAAGCACCCTAGGACAATCATTCCTTTTGGCCTCTTCGTGCCCTCCTGGAAGACCTCCTGGACGCCTTCTGGGCCGTCTTGGAAGCCTCTTGGGGGCCTCTTGGGCCGTCTTGGGCCATCTTGAGGCCATCTTAGGCCGTCTTGGGTGTATCTTGGGCCGTCTTGGAGGCATCTTGGAGCCACCTTAGTTGTCTTGGAGGCCATTTAGCCGTCTTGGAGGTCTCTTGGGCCCTCTTGGGGCCGTCTTGGGGGCCTCTTGGGCTGTCGTGTGGCCATCTCGGAGGCTTCGTGGGCGATCTTGGGGGCCTCCTGGGCCGTATTGGGCCGTCGGAATGCCGAAACGAAGCAATTGCCAAAATCCTTCAACAACCGAACGAAAACCACTGATGTTTGCTCTTCGGGCCCTCATGGAGGACCTCTTGGAGGCCTCTTGGGCCGTCTTGGAGGCCTCTTGGGGGCATCTTGGGCCGTCGTGGGCCATCTTGAGGCCATCTTAGGCTGTCTTGGGTGCATGTTGGGCCGTCTTGGGGGCATCTTGGAGCCATCTTGGCCGTCTTGGAGGCCATCTTGGGCGTCTTGGAGGCCTCTCGGGCGGTCTTGGGGCCCTCTTGGGAGCATCTTGGGAGCCTCTTGGGCCGTCATGGGGCCATTTTGGAGGCCTCGTGGGCGATCTTGGAGCGATCTTGGGGGCCGCCTGGGCCGTCGGAAAGCCGAAAAGGCGCAAATACCAAAATCCAGCAATAACCTAAGGAGCAGCAATGATTTTGGCCTCTTCGGGCCCTCCTGGAGGACCTCTTCGAGGCCTCTTGGGCCACTCTAAAGTGAGCTGAGACAAGGGCGAGAGATAGCGAGCGTTTGTCCGTGGCCGCTTGGGCTCAAGCGGCCGGCCGCCAACGTGTGACTGTGCCTCATCACGGGGCATACTACTTGCCATCGAGACCGAAAACATCGTTCGCTTGAGATGGCCCGTCGCTCCCGCGACGACCTCTGACTGAGACTATCGTTACTACGGCACAACAGAGCTGGAGTTGTGCTTCGCCTAAGGCGAAGCTTCTGGTCGGGCTTCCCGGCACCCTTCAAACTGGGCCGTCTTGGAGGCCTCTTGGGGGCCTCTTGGGCCGTCTCAGGCCACCTGGAGGCCGTCTCAGGCCGTCTTGGGAGGCATCTTGGGCCGTTTGGGAGGCATCTTGGGGCCATCTTTGCCGTCTTGGAGGCCATCTTGGGCGTCTTGGAGGCCATCTTGGGCCGTCCTGGGAGCCATCTGGGGCAGGAGAACCCACGGCAACCACCTCCGGGCAACCCTTTCGGGTGGCCGGCGGGACGGGCCGAAACCCCAGGGGGAGTTCTTTGGGACAAAAGAACCAAAACCCAAACCGAAGGGGTCCAGCACGCTAAGCACCCATGCGATGAATCGACAGGGGGCGGCGGATCGAATGGCCTTCGGCCCAATCCGCCACCGTGCCTGGGCTGTGGGTCAGGAGCCTCTGGGAGAAACATGAGGGCCTCTCGGAATGCTTCTCCGGGGCCTCTTGGAAGGCTTCGGAGTTCTTCGCGACGCTCCCGTCGCCCTCTTTCCATCACTGACGCCACCGTGCCGATACTGCTTGGCGGCTGGGCATAGATACTTACGCGCGGTCTTCTGCGCAGCAGTGAGGAGCAGGGCCCGCGCGCGCGCTCCGCCCGGCCTGCTCCTCCTCTGCCGGCCGGCCCTTTACCATGCACATATCCTGCCGTGGCGCGTCCAGACATGGTGGCCGTGTCGTCAGGGAGGTCCGCTTCCCGGAAGCCAGCCACGGGACGGCTACTGATCCGTATTCACCCGGGGGTGGACAGAACCCCCAACAGTGACACGTCGATTAGTGAATTGTCCGTTTTCGGTTCTCGAGAGGGCGCCGTGGCCGTCATTCCATGCTTGCGCCCGCCAGGTTTGGGCCTCAGGTCGTTTTCACTAAACCACGTTCTATTAAAGGGGGGTCTGTCCATCCCCGATTCACGTTCGTCTGGGAGAGCCATGGTATTGGCAATACTTTTTTTGGTTTAACCTATTGACAAGAACATTCCGAATTGGCTAGATCTAGGCAACATGCAGATGGGAAGTTTGGGGGGGGGCCTCTTGGGGACCTCTTGGGAGCTTCTTGGGGGTGTCTCGGAGGCCTTTGGGGGCCTCTTGGGGGCGCCTCGGGGCCTCTGGGGGGCTCTTGGGGCCATCTTGGGGGGAAAGGCTCAAAATATCAGTTCGCATTCCCCTTGGGCTCTCTGGAAGCTCTCTTGGGCCGTCTTGGGGGCCCCTGGGGCCGTCTCAGGGCCTTCTTGGGCCGTCTTGGAGCCGTCTTGGGGGCCTCGTCGGCCGTCTTGTGACGATTTTGGGGGTCCCTTGTGCAGTCTTATAAGCTGTCAAAGCGAAAAAAAACTAAAGGAGGTAATGTGACGGTTTCTGCCTCCTGGAGCAATTCCGGCGGTCGTTTTGAACATTTTTGGGCCGTCTTGACGTCATTTTGGGTCGTCGTGGGGCTATTCTGGGCCGTCTCGATGCCCTCTAGACCTGGCTTGGTTCTCTGTCTGGGCCCCCTTTGGGGGCCTCCTGCAGGCTCTGGGGGCCCCCGGGGTGCGTCGACGAGCTCGCCCCCCCCCTGAGACGGCACTCTGGACTGCGCAGGTCAGGTCAGAACCGTGCTTGGACGGCACATCGGTTGCAGTGCACGGCTGCTGCATTTCAAAGCAGCCTGAAGAGACATGAGGGAGGAGGAGGTAGAGGGGGGAGGTGGGAGGTGGGAGGGAGGTGGAAGAGGGGGGGGGGAAGGAGGAGAGGAAGCGGAGGGATGGGGGAGGGGGAGAGAAGGGAAGAGGAGAGGTGGAGAGGAGGTGGAAGAGGAGGGAGGGGGAGGGGAAGAGAGGGGGCGGCCTCAGAACTCGTTCCGCGGGACCTTCCCTGCCGCAGCAGGCAGAGGGAAAGGGGGGGTGCTAAAGGGGGAAGGGGGGGGGGTGCCAAAGGCCCCTGTGGCCCAAGGTGTCCCCCAGCTTTGCGCTCCATTTCGAAGCCCCCGGGGCCCCCTGGGCGTCGTGGGGGTTGCTCTGGAGGTCGTGGTGGCCCCCTTGGAGATCCTTGGGGCACCTTGGGCCAGGGGCTCTCCAGGGCTCGTTTCGGTTCCTCCGATTCGATTCGATTCGATGTCGATGGGTCCCGATTCCGATTCGAGTCGACTTCGGACTCCGATTCGGAGTCCGATCTATCCATGAGGCATTATCTCTCTGCCGATCTCCGCCGATACGACTCCTCGCGACTCGGCGGCCGACTTCCTCCGAGGCGATTGACTGGCTTGTCGCTTCGATCTTGGGCCCTCCTCCTCCTCCTCCTCCTCCTCCTCCTCCTCCTCCTCCTTTCCTCCTCCGTTCCTCCTCCTCCATTCTCCTCCTCCTCCTCCCCTCCTCCTCCTCCTCCTCCTCCTCCTCCTGCTCCTCCCCTCCCTCTCTCTGCTCCTGCTTCCTGCTCCTCCTTCCTCCTCCTCCCTCCTCCTCCTCCTCTCCTTCCTCCTCCTCCTCATCTTCCTCATCCTCCTCCTCCTCTCGTCATCCTCTTCCTCCTCCTCCTCCTCCTTCTCCTCCTTCCTCCTCCCCCTCCTCCCCCCTCCTCCTCGCCTCCTCCTCCTCCTGCTCCTCCTCCTCCTCCTCCTCCTCCTCCTCCTCCTCCTCCTCCTCCTCCTCTTGGGTGAAGGCAGTCGAGTTGACGATATGCGATCATCATGGCATTGCACCACTACCTGGCATTTCGAGGGCACAGGGCCACACATTCGTTGTTCAACAGGTGCGTGTCCCAAGCAAGTCTCGGGTAACACCTTTTAGCAAGGTTATTGCTACTTGGTGGGAACAGCTTTCGGTTGTATTGGAGCGTACTCAGGGGCACAGGTCCAAAGGCAATGGGGTTGTTCAGAGAGAGCAACTACGAGTGGCGCTTCGGCATCTTATGGATGAGGCCCCCGACAGGGCCCATACGGGGATTTGGTCTGGGGTGGAGCCGTCTTGGGCAGCGTGGTCTATGCTCATGCAAAGAGGGGCTTCAGTCTCAGCTAATATTCTCCAGAAGTTTGTCAAGGCAGCACAGAGCATTGCAGCGCGATGCCGACGTAGGGCATTACGCGCCTCTGTCGACGAGCTTAAAGGTTGGGTTACTACCAAGGAGGCTGAGGGTTCACTGCATCGAGCGATTCGT